AAGTTGCCGAGGTCTCTGGTGGAAATGCAGCCAACGCTGCAAAGCCAAGACGCCGAAGAATCTAAAGCAGCCTGCGATGTGGTACCCACAAGGGGCACCTTTGTGTGCTGCATGTGGCTCGAGGGCAAATGCTCGAAGAAGGACGAGCATTGGCTGGGCGGCCGACTGTATTTGCATAAAGATGTGCCTGGCATGAGTTGTGGCTTTGGGAACAAGTGCAAGTACCAGCACTACAAGAGCAGGGCAGCCGCAATAGCAGTCGCTTCGTCAAGCACAGCGGCCCCATGTGGACAATCAGGTGTGGATCCACAGCTGGATGTCGTGGATCCGTCGGTGTTACGAACTGGCATGACCGTCTTCCTGGCTGCTCCACAGTTCAATTTCCAGCGCGGCGAAGTCATCGAGATCTCGCATGACTCCCACAAGGCTGCACCAATCAAGGTGCGCTACAGTCCGGAGTTTGACAAGGTTGCCTGGTTCACACTTGACGCGCTGCAGGTGCCTGACTACAGCTCGTTTTCAAAGGGCATGGAAGTTTGTGTATCTTGCAACGAGGGGATCTTCTCGTGCAGAGTCATTCAGGTCTCGGCCGACGTTGCAGAGTCAAATGCTCCCATACTGGTGCGCTTCAACAGGTCCGGGAGTGAGGAATGGGTTGGAGCTGACCGGTTGCACACCAAGGCTTTGCAGTATGTCCCGGCCAAGTTGCCTAGGTCTCTGGTGGAAATGCAGCCTGCCGTGCCAAAGGCAGGCACTCAGGCAATGCCTAACGAAGGCGGGAAATGCCCACGTGGACAATCGGCTGTGGATCCACAGTCGGATGTCGTGGATCCGTCGGTGTTACGAACTGGCATGACCGTCTTCCTGGCTCCTCCAAAGTGCAAGCTCCAGCGCGGCGAAGTCATCGAGATCTCGCAGGACTCCCGCAAGGCTGCACCAATCAAGGTGCGCTACAGTCCGGAGTTTGACAAGGTTGCCTGGTTCACAATTGACGCGCTGCAGGTGCCTGACTACAGCTCGTTTTCAAAGGGCATGGAAGTTACTGTATCTTGCAAAAAGGGGCGCTTTTCATGCAGAATCATTCAGGTCTCGGCCGACGTTGCAAAGTCAAATGCTCCCATACTGGTGCGCTTCAACCCGTCCAGGAGTGAGGAATGGGTTGGAGCTGACCGGTTGCACACCAAGGCTTTGCAGTATGTCCCGGCCAAGTTGCCGAGGTCTCTGGTGGAAATTCGGCCTGCCGTGCCAAAGGCAGGCACTCAGGCAATGCCTTACGAAGGCGGGAAATGCCCACGTGGACAATCGGCTGTGGATCCACAGTCGGATGTCGTGGATCCGTCGGTGTTACGCACTGGCATGACCGTCTTCCTGGCTCCNNAGTCATCGAGATCTCGCAGGACTCCCACAAGGCTGCACCAATCAAGGTGCGCTACAGTCCGGAGTTTGACAAGGTTGCCTGGTTCACGGTTGACGCGCTGCAGGTGCCTGACTACAGCTCGTTTTCAAAGGGCATGGAAGTTTGTGTATCTTGCAAAAAGGGGCGCTTCT